CGAAAAGCACAGCTGTACAAGGAGTTTATTTCTCGACCCTTTAGCGGCAGGACACTTGTAGTTAATTCACCGTGGAAAGCTGATTTAGATGCAGCTTTTTTGATGTTTCTCAGATCAGCCGTGTTTTTAGAGCAACGGGCTGTTTTTGGCCTGGTTGACATCGGGGATTGAGTCCGCATAAGTACAAGACTGCATGCATGTAGTGATTACTTTTCGGCGATGTTGATGTCTTTTCTAAATGGTCTGGCCTCATGTGTTGTGACGATCTCAGCACTTCTTGCATTCGATTTGTTCCGTGGCATCCATCATCTACGAAGGTCTTTGAACTTTTCGCGCATTGGTTCACCTTTTGTCTGAGGATTGTTGTCTTCTTTACGAATGTCGTTGAATGCTGCCAAAGTCGATAATCCTTGGAATTCTGGGATTGGGATAGCCATGCTTGGGTATTCTCACGTAGACTGAAAAGAGTTCTTTGATCTCGGGTTAGTTCCAAATATGTTCACGAAAAGCATAATTCAATGTGGCATCTCAGAGAAAGGGAACTCATCCTATTAGTTAAAACTCGTAAGCAAACCCGTGGGTTTTCCTTCTTAGAGCAAATATATGGTCACTTCTGCCCTACGTTCCACATCGTGTCCACCACTGTTACATGCGTCATTTAGCTTTAGACCAAGTTGCTTAGAACCTTTCAAATACTAGATATCGGTGGATATTCGTTCTTGCAAATAGTTGGTTAAAAACGTTTTTCCTCTGTGTTTTATATTGATTAGAATGTTATTAGAGCTACAAAGGGTGATTTTTGGATAGTATCTTTGGAATCTTGTTTTTTATCCACTTTTTATACGACAAAGGACGTTCAGCTTGTCCTTGGACTTTGCTGCGATTTGTTTGCTGTCAGAATGGATATCCGTAGACTACTTTTCCTTTACACTGTCCACTCCCGTTCTCTACTTCGAATGAAACATCTTATCAGTGTTCACGTCCGGTTCTGTGACACCAATAAACGGCAGTCTTTGAGAACTGTTACAGTGTTTGAAAAATCAAGTATAGAGTGGTAACTATGAACATTCAAAGACCCAAAGTGACGATGCTATAAACATCAGGAGAACCACAATGACGACGCCCTCTTCACATTCCAGCAAAGTTCAGACTCGGGCTTATTCGCATGGAATCACCATCGCGGCCACTAGTTGTGGTGCATTCTCGGTTCGTTTCCGAGATTCAGTTAAATCGATTTATTATTTTAATTCTGGAATTACTTTTTTAGTAAAGGAGGGTTTCATCTATATGCACTTCAATATTTAATGTAAGGGATCTACAAGGTGTGAATTTTCGAAATTTTTCCTGTACAGTAGAGGTATGGTTCTCTATATTCATATTACTGTTGGTTCTTTAAATTGTATTGCTAAGAATTTCTTTAGTATAGATGCTATTGGAGAGGTCACACTAATTTAAGTAAGTGATAGCTTGTTTTATATAACAATATACGTAATATATATGTCGCTCGCTTATATTAAAAGGACGTGTATAACTCAGTGGTTAAATGTACACTACAATGCACACGTGCTCGTCAGTTCGATCCTTTGCTCCGGACAAAGCAACATTTCTCCGGTATTGCCGAGCTGTCACCGGAATAGTTCGTTAAGATAAGGGAGAAACCAATTTGATATATCAGCGGGCGATCATAGGTCACAGTACAGGCCAGGCATGCATTCGTGTGCCTCTATGTTGTCTGAGTAGGTCGAATGCATAACGCATTCCTAAAAGATTGGTCAACATGGAACGCTCTATTTTTATAGATACTACTTGTAATTTTGAATAAAAACGAAGATATAAGAGCATACCTGCCTTTCGCTGTACTTCTCATTCGAGGTCCTTAACATCGTAGGTTCCTAATATTTTAACTCTGGGTTGGAAGCATCCGGCGATTATATTATAATCACAATGCTCACAACATCCTCTTTTTTCACCATAGATAGTTTTCCAAGAATTCGCTCTTGCAGTTCAGTTGTTCAGACTAGCAAGCGTTTGAGTGGGAGTTTTTGAGAGCACATGAAGCAAGAAATGCTTTCATTTTATACGTCGTAGACTTTTAGACGGCTGCAAATTCATAAATATTCTACAATCAGGAACCATCACTTTTGCTTCATGCCTCGTGTACTCTATCGCTCCCACTTTTTCCTGTATTGTCTCCTTTTTTACGTTCCATTGATCGATTCCACTGCCATGGTGTATTGCTTCTTCTTGCCACTGATCGGTCCGTTTAAAATTTTCTGTTGCAGACAATTTTTTATACAAGGGTTTTTTTTTCCAGTTTCCAACACCGATAACTTCGCGTGGATGACAGTCATGAAACCAAAAACGCTTTCTTATCGGAACTTGTTTTCGTTCTGGTGAGTTGACCAATGCAATCATCCTGTGGGGTGTGGTTTCTAACAACTAGCTACACGGAAGTGTTTCGTGTCAACTTGACACAAAATTTGGCATTTGAAATTGGTCTTGTAGATTCAGTCATGCGAGGAAATGCAAAGTGAATACAACCACAACGTTGCTGAGATATTTGCAAAACTCTGGACCGCAGGTGTCTATGGTGGGGAACGAACGCGCTATTATCCTTTCCGGGGAGTAACGCGTTCACCACCACACCATGCGGGTCCTTTGTTTCGCACGTCTCTCAGCTATTTCTATCGATCTTTTTGCCACAGCAATCACCCGTCAGCGGGGTTGATCTGGGGAGCGCAAATCGGCATAGAACCCAGTTAAGCTATGGCTGTAGTTGAAATCACAATGTTTAACGTTTTGTTTTCTGCCTTCTATAATTTTCATGGCAGGTTACTAAGCGAAATACAACCACAACGTTGCTGAGATATTTGCAAAACTATGGACCGCAGGTGTCTATGGTGGGGAACGAACGCGCTATTATCCTTTCCGGGGAGTAACGCGTTCACCACCACACCATGCGGGTCCTTTGTTTCGCACGTCTCTCAGCTATTTCTATCGATCTTTTTGCCACAGCAATCACCCGTCAGCGGGGTTGATCTGGGGAGCGCAAATCGGCATAGAACCCAGTTAAGCTATGGCTGTAGTTGAAATCACAATGTTTAACGTTTTGTTTTCTGCCTTCTATAATTTTCATGGCAGGTTACTAAGCGAAATACAACCACAACGTTGCTGAGATATTTGCAAAACTCTGGACCGCAGGTGTCTATGGTGGGGAACGAACGCGCTATTATCCTTTCCGGGGAGTAACGCGTTCACCACCACACCATGCGGGTCCTTTGTTTCGCACGTCTCTCAGCTATTTCTATCGATCTTTTTGCCACAGCAATCACCCGTCAGCGGGGTTGATCTGGGGAGCGCAAATCGGCATAGAACCCAGTTAAGCTATGGCTGTAGAAATAGCTGAGAGGCGTGCGAAACAAAGGACCCGCATGGTGTGGTGGTGAACGCGTTACTCCCCGGAAAGGATAATAGCGCGTTCGTTCCCTACCATAGACACCTGCGGTCCAGAGTTTTGCAAATATCTCAGCAACTTTCCAGTTTGTCAGAAATTTACGGTGACTGTAGCGTATTCACTTGCTTTTACTTTANGGGAACGAACGCGCTATTATCCTTTCCGGGGAGTAACGCGTTCACCACCACACCATGCGGGTCCTTTGTTTCGCACGCCTCTCAGCTATTTCTACAGCCATAGCTTAACTGGGTTCTATGCCGATTTGCGCTCCCCAGATCAACCCCGCTGACGGGTGATTGCTGTGGCAAAAAGATCGATAGAAATAGCTGAGAGACGTGCGAAACAAAGGACCCGCATGGTGTGGTGGTGAACGCGTTACTCCCCGGAAAGGATAATAGCGCGTTCGTTCCCTACCATAGACACCTGCGGTCCAGAGTTTTGCAAATATCTCAGCAACGTTGTGGTTGTATTTACCCTGTTATTAAGCAAAACTGCCTTGTTACTGCATACATCCGCATACGCTCTTATAATGGAAAGTGTGGACTCATAAGTGAAGTATGATTGAAAGTAGCTGTTTTAAGCACTATTACTGATTGAAAAAGAAGCAGGCCATTGGCCAATTTCATTTCGACATGAGCTAGCGTTCTGTCCATCACCTCTCTCATCTACACTACCCTTGGTTAACGAGTGGCTCGAGCTGGCGCCAGGCAATAAACTCTCCATTCGTCGCTGTCATTTTCAAGAGCAATCTAGTGAGTTCTGTTAGCTCTAGGAACTCACTGAGCACTGTATTTTTTTGTGGAATATTCGTGAAGAATTCTGACAATCTGGTAGGTGGTCTTCTAGCTGAGTGTGTTACAGTACGCCAGATCCAGGCACTCATTAACGAGTCGTTCCCACCGGTTCTCCGGAGATATGTCACATCATAGGTCAACGGCAGTTTATTTTCGACATTTCCACGTGTATAGCGGCATCGTTGTCCTTTCTTTGATCATTGTCGTAGGTCGGCTCTATGGAGTTTCTCTTTCGATTGCGCTATTAAGATATTTCCACATCGTTTTTTCTGTAGGTTTGTGTATAGCGAACTTAAGTCGTGCCGTTTAAAAGAATTTTCCTTCTTCGGGAAAATATGTAGGGTCTTCTGCTCCATATCGAGCCTATGTGCATGTTGTGCGTTTCTCGGCCGTCAACACGTCAACAGGTGGTGGCAGATTTTACATTTTCTCATGCACAGCTTAATGTCGTTCTCTTCCAAAGAGGTTTCAGAACAGGAATGAGAGGTAACCCAGAATTCGTAAATATTCGCATTATGTTGTAAATCAGACTTTTTATGACGAGAAATCCACCGTTTCCTCTGCACCCCGCTACCTTTCTTGGTGAAGTATTTCTGTAGTTGAGGAATTAAAAAAGGTTAGATGTGCTCCAATTAGGTCTTTTTGATACGGATGTCAACTTTTTGTTAAATATTCAATAAGCAAAATCGATAACCACTTGCTACGATTGTTTCAGGATCTTCGGCCTATGCAACAATTTTGTCTATACAGTTATGCTGAGCGCTGCTCAGGATATTCTCAACAAACACAAAAGTGATGAGCCGGTGCTGGGCAACGTCACGGATACGGAGTGCATTGTAAGTAGCCTGAAGAAATATGTTTAAAAGACTATACTGAATGCTGAGGATTGAAGGGACATGAAGGAAACATGATTTAGAAAAGTAATGAGTCCACTTTGATTTGAATGGTTGAAGAAAAATGACAGTGGGATCGAAAGTTCTTTTCCAATCATTCCCATCCTTGAACTATCTTGAATTTGCTCTCGGATAACCCAAATTTTGTAGGCCGATCAATTAGCACATTCGTGATTATATGGACTGATTTCAGTGGAATTTTCACGATCGAAGATTATTTCACTTTTCACCTTAAAGGAGCGATAAACTCATCACTTTATCATCATCGTCGATCTATAGTAAAATTGATTAGTAGATGTAAATACTAGAAGTTTGGACCAAAAAGGCATGAGTTTCCTTAATACAGCATTAAAAAGGTTCTCAATTTCTTCTCCGGAGATAGCGAAGTTATTGACTGAACAAAATCCCTTAGACCTTAGACCTTAAATACATTATCAATGTGGTGCACAATTGCATTACAAATCTTCGAAGCTTAACATTTCTGAATAATCTTTTTTTTTGGCCTTAAAAGAACTTGAAATACGGAGTATTTTATAGAGGTCATATGTACCTTTAGAGCACAGGTGTTGTCCACCGATGTACTTTAGTTGTTGAAGAATTGTTCCCAGTTATCAGGAAACCAGTAAATTTACGAGTGTAGTAAAAGTGGTTGAGGAGAAGTCTGCTCAGCAAATCAAAAAATTAGGGGTGGGAAACTTTAATGATGTATGTGCAATGCTTACGTCAAGGCTTTCGTCACCTCGCTCTTTAAAATTAGGACAATTTATGAGCTGGAGTATTGGGTGAGATTTTTATATGAACCTTCCATAGCCGGTATTTGAGATCTTTGTCAGCATTTAATAACTATTTATTCTTAACAGTTTTTCGGAACGCAAGTAAAATAGAGCAGTATCCTTTTAAAAGGTAACATTCCTATGAAAGTATCCACTTTGACGGAGAACAACAAGATAGGTTCCCGTTACTAGGAGTGGTTCCAGTGAACATGAACAATTCCAGACGGAGATCTCGACTAGAATTTGCTCGCTGACCTCGACTGGTGTCGTGTTGTTGTGCAATATCATACCCAGCTTATGTGTGAAAATTCTCTGTCCATTCGTTATGCATCGGATACCCTACTGGTGCGTCGTAAGTTTGTACTGGTCCTGCTATTAGCAATCAGATTACTTGAAACTCACTGAGACAAGCGCCATCCTGAGTGTTGGTATTTCCGTGAAAAATCTTGATTCTCAGGGTGCGGCACACTACTGCATGCACAACGCAAGTGTTGTCATTGATGATCACTGCCTTCTCTGAGTCGGTGTATGTCGCTCTCTGTGGAGTTTGTTTGGCATCATTTTCGAGCGGTCTTGGTGAGACGACATACCTCGGATTGGCTGGTCATTATTCGAAGTGCGTTGATAGAAACTCTAAATTCATGGTGACGTTAGATATGAAACTGCAATGAGCCTTGAGATCCAAAATATCAAACCGAGCTCGATAAATGTGGCAGAGCTTCGAGTATTCTCATAACGGTCGCCTTTGCTAGTAGGGATGAAAAATCTGAATATAAATGTAATTGCCTATAGAAATACGATCGCAACCTGGTCGTCTGGGACCGGAATGGCAGGGATCATAAGTTCGTTCTCATATGCTGGTCTCACCGATCGTCGACTGCTGGCGCTTTCACCTGCACAAGCAATGCTCGTCATGCTCGTCGTGCCTGTTATTTTCATGTTTACGTGAGTTTTTTGCCGAAAAAAATAAGCGGACTAGTCAAAAGGCAATACTCTCATACATCGCAATCGCAATTGAAGAAAACAAGTTTTCATGCATGTATCCAGTTGAAATATGATAACACATTTTTTGCTTTAAAAACCACTCTGAAGAACATCTCTAATAGATAAAACAGGGGTAGCGTTATGAGTTCATCGTCGACACCGTATGGTACTCACTTGACAGGCGAGACCTCAGATCCTCAAGCTACAGCTGAAACACATTTGAACCCTATCACCTTCGCCGACGACGGATGCCCTTGAAACAAATCAAGTGGAAGTTCTCATGCTCTCATAATATGATTGTGAACTATTTAAGCATGTAATTTTCAAACTGACCACCATTTCACCTCGGTTGTATAATCAATATATTCCTGGATCCTTACGTGAACCTTACACGAGGTTGTTATATAAGTTTTATTCGCTAACATTTCGATGTCTTTGTTCTTATCAGAGCATATGTTGCGAGTCGGTGGTCCACAATTGTTCATTTTCTCGATGTGGCGTCTTCGTAGTCGTACTGAGTACGTAGACGGATCTTCTACCGGTGAACACCGCTCGAATGAGGGAAGCCCACTCACCAACTTCTTTTGCACAGGATAATTGTTGTTGATATGATTATGCGTTGATAATAACTTGTTTTTCAACAGATGCATCCTGCAGCAATCGACATTATGTTCGTTAGCACGGAGCGAATAGCAAAACAATGTTTTCCAGACCGGCCGTCGACAACCCAGGTTATACAACCGAGGTTAAATGACGGTCGGTTTGAAAATTATTGTAGTAATTCCCACGACTGACTAACTATTGACTTCGACATTGATCGAATAATTCGCTACTCTTTTGATGAGCAAAAACGATGTGGTTAATTAACAACCACGTCATTGATCATCAAGAGCACAGGAAAAGTTATTGTTTTGTTATTTGCTATGTGCTAGATAACATAATAGCGTTTGCTGTAGGATGAAGGATGCAGGATGATTCAGATGATGATAATAATCCGTTGCAAAACGAACTATTATCAAAGGATACTCATATCAGCAGCAATCATTCTATGAAAAAAGCTCTACCGGGTGTGCTCACCTCGTTGGAGCGGTTCCCCTGAAAAAAATCCGTTTCAGCACGACTACTATAACGGCACATCGAGAAGACGAACAACTGTAGACCATCGACTCAGATCATCAGCTATGGTGAAGGTGAAGACATCGAAGCGCTAGACGAATAAGACTTATATAGCAAGCTCGTGTAGCCTTATTAATCCAGGAAGGTATGTAAACATGTGGTTAGATATAAGAGTAATGTTTGCAAATGGATTTTCGGCAGAGATATGAGCAGGGCTATCTTTCTAAATTTTTGCTCTGCATGGATCTTTCGTCGCCTTACTATCTCTAAGAGCCCAACCTGTGAAAGTCGTTAACTTTCCATCCACGTAGAAAGCGGCTTGTGAGCAAAATTGTTGCCTGATATAGGAGCGAGGTAATTGGCTGCACTTCTCAATCATAGTAGCAAAAATCAGCGGCTTCCACAAGAAAAACCTTCGCCAGTTCAACCGAAATCATGTCTTCTTCGGGTTATTCTCTGCTAGTGGAATGAATGGATGGCAATGTTTTGTTATTGTTCGCAGCCGACCGGTAATATTAATAACACCTGAGAAATACGCTGTGGACTTTAGAACTTTGTTGACATCATTCACTGAGAACGTACCAAGCATAATAAAGTTCTCTTTCTTCAAGGTTGTGCTGGTTCTCACATTGTCAATATGAGTCTCCAAACAGTTCTGTAATGTAGCTTTCTACCAAATTTACCCTATCCTATCCTAACTAGATTCGAGTCATTTTTTAATTCTTCTTCTGTGAGGTGTTCCTAGATGTGGAAATCCAGTGTTTAGAAAGCTGGGAAACTTTTGATATTCTAGTCTTCCACATTTAAGCAGTGAAAAAAATATTCGCATTCATTCTATTAAATTGTGGGAGTAAGGCAGAAAACCTTTTTTCGATTCCCAAAAGTTGATTGGAACCCATGGAGATGCACTGGCAAGGATACTTCGGAACACTAGGGAAAAGACGAATTGCTCAACCACCAATAAATCAGCATTATTACATGACACTAGGAACTGCTGCATATGACATCTAAGGTGAGACAACCGGTGAGAGAAATTGAAATGTCAAATTGCATCGATCATGGCTGAAGCACTGCGACAAGTCGTGTTTCCTTTCGTTTGTGCACCTAACATCGTAGCGGTCTCCCTCATATTCAATCTTTGTGCTGAAGACGATTAGCAACTGCCGCTTACCTCATCATTTCCTTCTCAATCCCATCCTTACTGCAGGTCTGATAGGCGATTACGAGCTGCTCGTCAAGGGGCTCCAAAACTGCACTCTCACTTTTTAAATCAAGAACTTGAGATTGCATGTTCAATGCCCACTGTTGCAAACTTTTGCTCGTGAACGAAAAAATATTGAAGCACAGTTTCATGTAACACACTTAACTCCACTTTAGAAGGACTTCGAACAACTCAGGTTGAAAAAAAGCTGCAGGAATCACTTCGAAAGTCGGTTAGTCTGAACATCAAAGTACACTTTCCGTATCACATCCTCAGTAGCAATTCCTAAAACACTGGAGGAAAAAAATTACCCTGAGTGCCTCTCTGTGAATCTAAGTTAGAACTATGTGCATCGAAAGAAGCACAACTTCAGGACCAAACAGCTTCACTACCGAATTCTCTCGAGTTCCAAGCTACAAACCATGCGCATTTTTGGCAACCTCTATGACTTCTTCGGAAAGATCCTAATGAATCAGCTAGCTAACAAAAGGAATTATGCGAAAGGAGGGCAGCATTGACCACGTTTGAGCTTCTCGGAAAGCTAATGATCAATTCAAGGGCATAAAGCTCTGTGCTCGTCTTACCAACACATTTGTTACTCGACGTATCGCTAAGCAGATAAGACATCGGTGAATATCTCAACCATATCGTGACTTTAATGCCGCTCAGGTAGCCTTCGTAAGTATAACCGATGATGCAAGGGAGTAAACATGGAACGCGAAGTTTAAATGGGTTCAGTCATGGGACGTGTAACGAGGAGAGCTGATAACAGATGCACGTGAAGAATAGTTGAGTGCACAACAAGGTGCTGTATAAGTCGACGATCTGCAAAATAAGTGGACGTGTTTGTGTCAGCCAGTTACATCTACACCCGCAAGTAATTTTTGAGCCATTTAATTGCTATTTGCAGCAAAAAACCGTCGCGAAAAAAAGAAACAAATGCGACGTGTGGTGGAACCCATACGAATGAGGAGTGGTTACACAATTATGCAAGAAAGCTCGTATAAGTTTCAGAAATATGCGCGTATTAATGCAAAACCTTCTTGTAATCCTAATTGAACAGTGGCGGTCGAGTAGTCATAGTAGGTAGTAGAAGTCTCTCTAGAAAGATTTTTCAAAACACTTCGTCATTGACTGCACCAAAATAGGAACGTCGATAGTTTATACTTTACCGTAAACTGCAAACCTTTTTGCAGGTTCTACGTGGTTCTCGAACATACGGAAACAATGAGGAAGGTCGGCTCCACGAAATCGAAAAAGTTGGGCGATTCTACGTGGTATGGTGTTTGATAATTTGGTTAAGAGAAAAAAGAAGCCGTCAGGAAAATATTTTTCAAAAGCAAACCGTTCGGGAAGGAAAACACAATGATGCTGAGACATTTGCAAAACTCAGACCCCAAGCCAGACTCAAATGAGAGAAGGACAAAGCAAGAGCCTCAATGGTGTAGTGGATAACACGTGAGATACTGGAAATGGTAGTCGCGGGTTCGAATCTGAGCTGAGTGTGGATTTTTCAAATATTTCGACATCATTGTGGTTGTATTTCACATAATGCGCTGCAATGAGAAATAATAAGCAGCAGTGAATAAATAGTTGTACATTTAAGAAGAATTAGCGCGTTCTTAGTACTGTGGATATTGACGCTTGAATGATCGCTGCTCCCGAAGCTTCAAGCAGAGCAACAATCGGCCCCGCATAGCTGCGCGATAGGATCAGGTTCTATGAACAACTGGGCCAACTTTCTCTCGTCTGGGATTTTCATTAACCGAAGCGTTCTTTGACGAAAACAGAAGAACACAATTAAAAAAGGCATACCTTGCGACGTCGATCAATCCCTGAGAAATGAACCAAGAATTCAATTTCATTAAGCATAGTTAGACGCTAATAAATATATTAGGTGTATTCAATGCCTCGCGGTGGCGTATAGAGTCAGTACTGCTATCCTTCGGAGAGCTGGTGGCCTTAGTAGCGGGAGGCGCGGGATTGGACCCATGTTTGTTGCAGGGCACCTCAAACCACTGTGTTACATGCACCCTTTAAGGAAGAACACAGCACTGATATCATTCCAGCAATGGTAAACCACCGCAACAATCGTCGACCATACCATCTTCATTCGATGCAGTCGATGATGGGAAAACAGGGACCCAGCGTCTATCCATTGTAACGGTAACTAGTTTTTGCTTTTCCTGTATTGAAATTTATACATTTAATGCGGATTTCAACAATCAGCTTAGTTCACTTTATTACATAAGATTTTGATAAATCTAAAATTTGTTAGGATTTAATCTCAGTGATCGATTGGATTCATTTTTTCAACTTTAATTGTACAAATATTTGTCTATATCGATCAGCTTTTAGCTATATAAAGCAGGTTTTCACAGTGAATAGATCGGGATCGATCGCTCTGTTTATTGGTTTTCAAAGTTCTCAATATCGATGTTATTTGGTTTCACTGTTTACGTTCGAAAATCTTTTCAGAGTCTGTTGCGATACATGGTACCGTTGTCTCTCACGTACTTCGCTGAGTATCTTATCAATCAAGGCTTAGTGAGTAGCAAAAGAATTTCTTTAATTCAAATTTTGATAGGTTCGTTAGAGGTGTGAAGCAAGAGACAAACTGAAACACAATGATGTCATCTCCAACAGTCGAACGCCTTCTCATCGCCACACCGAATTTTCTGAGTTTCCCAAAACTGTGCCACAAAACTTTTGTGGCCGAAAAATGCGATGAAATATTATTTTTTTAAAATTATAATTGAATGGAAACAACGTCCATGAATCGATCAGAATGCTTTGTGCAGAAGGTGTCGCCAAAATTGCTCGACATAGTTGAAATCCTGGAATTGTTTTCTAAGTTGAAGTAACCATTCAAAACTGTCATACGACCCACGAACGATTTCATTTTAGCTCGAATTGACTGTGTTTGACTGCAAAAATGGGTTTGGTACTAGCCCTGCATCACAATATCGGTGGTATCAGGTGTAGTTTTTCTACAGTACTGGTTTGTGGCCAGTGTGGTGCCAGTTGATATCGCATTGAGAACGCCAAAGTCTTAGTGTGCTGCTTTGAACGAACTAGTCATATATCCGTTCTTAGGTGCTTTATCAAGTGGGTGTGTTCGTGTCTCGTTCCTCAATCAAAATCGTTCAGTTGAATATGCTTACAATAGCTTTGATGCCAATCCTCCAGGTAGTTTTCTTCACTGTTACTTTAGTTCGTCCCATTTATGATGTGCTTCTTGTTACCATCATTGCGTTCTATCTTATTTCAGCTTCTCAACACAGCTTTCTTCATGTTAAACGCTATCTATGCCTTTGTTCCAAATTTCGCAATCGTTTGCGTCATTGTATTTTACGAGGGTTTAATTGGTGGCGGATCTTATGTGAACACCTTCCACCATATCCATAAGAAGGTAACCATGATTACTTCTTGAAATTTTCTATAAGTTAGATTAAATGAAATCTATCTGTTCCATCGTATTGATTAGAGTGATATTAGGTTCGATGTATGGAAGTCGAATCTAAAACTGTTTCATCCAACATGTTCACATAAGTTCTAGCTTCATTTAGGTTACTATTTAAGCATCTACAAGGCAGCGTCTTGTGGACATCCTAGTTTAATCCATCTCCATTTGAACAATGGAGTGTGTATTGCTTGTATTATTGTGGAAAATGAATGACTCCTCAACAATATACTATCCAACCCACCTGAATTAATCTTCCTATTGAATTCCAATTCATTACACGAGTGATATCTCTTAGCAGAAAATTCTTGTCTATAAAGTCTTTAGGGAGAGAATTTCGCCATCAGTTCTTCTCTTGCAGGTTGATCCGTCTATTAGAGAATTCGCTCTATCCACGGTCTCATTGGCAGATTCATTCGGTATTCTACTAGCTGCACTAGTGTCAATTCCCGTTCACAACGCCATCTGTGCCATGCAGTGGTACCATGCATAATCGTCTTCCGGTGACACGTCGTTTAAACTCAGATGGAGCCACTTCTTCATGGCTGTCCACTCCGACTCTGTACATAACTGGAATTGGAGATCGCGGAACTGTGATATCTTCTATACCTCGATTTTTTAGTTCATTTCACGAACATATGAAGAATAGTTGAAGAAAAAAATATGCGTACAATTGATCATCATTTCTTTTGCAAGAGTTGTTTTCATATTCTCTTTACTTGTTGTTTTTTCCATTTACAAAAAGATCTATGTGGTTTGGAATGCCTACAGGTGAGCCTTAGCAGTCTCGAGCTAAGAATTTTTCACGAGTGATAGCTTCATTCTTCTAAATTTTGAGCAAAGCATTAAGTTTTCTTTCAGCGTTTACCTCTTTGAGTGCATGTCTACTCTGTGAACCTCATACAGTACTATTATCACAAGCACATAACTTAATAAAGTCTAAAATTTAAAGTAAAAAGGATCGCAACAAACCTGAAGAACTGTTTATAGCTGCAGTGACCGGTATCGCCTCTATCATTCGCCTTCCAAGTTATCGTCAAATGACTCGAGTGGGCGTCAGTGAATTCCCATTCCTCCGTGGCGCATGCAAAAGTATCCAAGTGGGCCCTTCTAGCTCTAGAGACTCGTTAAGCTTTATTTTTCATGTAGAGCTTTCACAAAAAACTTACCATCGGGTCGGTAGTCTTCAAGTTGTGTGTTTGAGGTCCTGATGCATTTTTTCGCTAACGGCTATTGACCATCGGTTCTCGTTCACACGCGTTACGTATCCGGCCGATAATTTGGCATATAGAATGACGTTTTTGGTTTTTTAAAGAATGAGATAGGTTGGAGCTTCAGAGGTCCTCTCTTAGTTGCCGTGATACGATGCACTCCTAGGATCGCCCCTTCAATTCCGCGTTCTGTAGTGACAAGTAAGGAAGAAAAAACGACACAAATTGAGAAATTGAGTGTCAAATCGGTAGGCAATCAACTGGTGGAAGGTTGAACTATGAAACGTTGACTGGTTTTTCCGGTAGTACCGTCGTCATACGTGGTACTTATAGAGATGGGTAAGAATCACAGTAGTCGAGAATGTTAAACGGGATGACAGTGGGTGTTTTACCCTCTCCTGGATCTGCAATCATCAGAGTTTGTTCTCTCTCACATTTTCTCATTAGGGTTGTTTAGGCCAAAGAGTTAGACATTTCTGAGTGGAAGCCAAGCTAGGAGTAGATCTATGCAGGCGTAACCCAGAGAACTGGCTGTGAGCACCTTCGCTTCAAAGGTAGTCAGAATAGAAAAGGCGATTTCAAAAATATAAGGTTGATCCTATTGAAGAGACATCGTAGTCCATTGTTTGGCTCTGAGAGTTTACAAGGACAAATGAAGCAGTAGGTGCATCTGCATTTATGGGCATATTGGTTACGAATATTCAGTTATCCTGTTATCCCATCATTGAAACCGCTTAAATCACTCGCCGTTATTCGTCGAGTGACTCGTCAACGAAGTGTCTATTGGTTTTTATCATGTGAAATTGATGTGGGTTCTATTAGCCCATTTGACCTGAAATGCACCGCATCTTTCAACTAGAATATTTGTGAGGAACATCATTGGTGCCGTCGCTCTGTAGGTCTCCACAACAATGTGGTCTAGCTGGTATTACACTAGTTAACAATGTGCAGTTCTAGAAGGTAAGGTGCAAAAAAAATAATAATGGAAGAAATGAGTGATCGCAAGTGATTGTTGGCTCATAGACGTGCTTACAGATGATGCCTCAAGTTGGCTTTTCGGCAACTGACGAGTTATTCAATCATGAGAGGACTTTAAGAAATGAGAAATTTATGGATTCATGTAAGAGATTTCCCTCTAATACCAAGGATGTGGCTGACTCTTACATAGTACTGTTTTAGCTTGGAATTTATTCAAAATTGAACGCTTTGAAAAATTATGAAGAAAAACTAAATCTTTAGAGTCGCAAACACAAGCGCGGCTTCCACTAACAGCAGTGATACCGTAGGAGAAACCATTATGCCTAGTTGGAATGATGCTCCACTTGTTGATTTATTTTATGCTAAAAGTACAAGCTCGTCGCAGAAAAATGAAAAGGATGTTTCGCAGATTCTAGAAATCAGAATTTCATGCTGCAGTAGAGAAGAGGGCGCGTGTGGCGCAGTGGTTGGAGGCGTCACTGCGACACAAACGCGGAATCGTTTCCCGTGCCCATGGCCCACCAAGCATTCCATCCCTCCGGGGTCGGAAAGTTGCTATCAGACTTGGGGAGGATAGCAGCACTGGTTCGATGCATCGGTAAGCCACAGCGAGTCATTGTAGAGGCCAGATATGCGTTTAATCACCTCCAACGATACTTAATAAAGTCGAATGCATGGTGCATCTCTCAGGGATTGATCAACGCCGAGAGCTTTATCCTTTTATCCTTTTGTACAAAAGAACTTGCATCTTTTAGGTAAAGAAGATGGGATATTCCAGTAATTAAAGAGTTATATTTATTTATGTTATCTTATAAACTGATCTTCCTAAGCTGACGCGAGGTTGGTACAGGTCTTCGTTGTCATGTCAATAACATAAAAAACAACGACAACGACAACGAAGACCTGTACCAACCTCGCGTCAGCTTAAGAAGATCAGTTTATAGGATCAAATAAATAAATATATCAACTATCTATGCTGAGGTTTATTGAGAGTCGGCCTTTCGAATTTAAAGAGACTTGAATAATCCAATAATCTTTGTAGTAACTAAAATGCCGATGATTATTTACGAACTGAATAGATTGTGTGGCACAGCCACAATGGCGCTGAGATATTTGCAATGCAAAACTCCGGACCACAGGTGTCTGCGCTAGGGAACGAAAGCGCTATTACCCTTTCCGGGGGCTAACACGTTCACCACCACACCATGCAGGTCCTTCGTTCCGCCTGTCTCTCAGCTAGTTCTATCGATCAGTGCCATCACTAATCACCCGTCAGCGGAGTTGATCTGAGGAGGCCAAATGGGCAATGAGCCCAGTTAAGCTGAGGCTGTAGTCGAAACCACAATGTTAATTTTAGGTGTTAGCGCCGGAAAGGGTAATAACGCGTTCGTTCATCACCGCAGACACCTGCTGTCCGGAGTTCTGCAAATATCTCAGCATCATTGTGGTTATGTGACACATAATACCATGCCGTGGAAAATTGTAGCAGGAAGTTAATAAAAAAAATAACATTGTAAATGGATTGTAACAAATTCACACTAGGCGTTACTTGTTAGTAAGTGGGCTTAACGCCACAGATTGCTGTAAATGGCCTTTTAGTGCGTTATGCGTGGTAGTGGATACATCAAGCATAATGTGACAAAGGTCACTACACTCGTATTCACGACTTGCACCAATAAGTTTCGAAACAGCATTGATTCTATGTTACTACAATCTATGAAAACAAATATCATCTAGTCGTTGAACATAATATGAAAAAGGAAGGATTATTGCGGTAAAATGGATGTGGTCACATCATGGAATGAAAAGATTACACTAAAAACGGGAAAAAGTAATGATGAATTGGAATGATAGTGACGTCAAAATACTTAAGAGTACTGTAGCATTTCACAAATGGTTTTATGTATAGAAATAGCAGAAATACCGGCTGCCAGGATACCAAGAGTATCACCGATTATGACGGTCGACAGAGTGAATTCACGAATGGAGGCGTTGACCTAAAAACAGGGCATTCGCATGGGGTTTCTGAGTGTAGTCGCTAGTGATCGCTCTTTCTACCAGAACCCTATCTTTCACGTCGTAATATCTCAAAAAGTGAAACAAAACTAAGCGCAAAATTTCGATTTCATGAGAATCCTTGAAATTATCAGTGAGCATATCACATCAGAATCTCCATTTGTTGAAGTTGAACCACCGTTTGACTACGATCAAAAACCCACATATGGAAGGAAATGAGAGGGTATAATTCCAGCCATTCCATGTTAATGCAATTACGGTAACTGCGCACAGATTATACAGCACCTTTGTTGGGTTACCATGTACTTTTCGGTATCTGTCCTAAATCACAACTTGAATTAACCGTAGGCGCAATTCAAACGATTTAAAGTCGAGATGAAACTGGCTATGTGATTTCTAGAAATTCTCATCAACTGCGAGTAGGGACGGCTTCCAAATTGGTTTATAACTGAAGTTTTATTGATATTAAATGGTTATCCTTCTGAACTAACTTTCACTTTACCTCGGTATAAATGTGTACCGTATTTCACTGATAGTCTACGTGATGAAAACCTCGTGCTTACTGATAACACGATGTTGTTACCAAAAATTTACTCGGCTACCGTAATGAGTGTGGAACCATCGACTCGAATAATCTGCTCTGATGAAGACGATGACGTTGAAACGTTAGTCGAACAGATTTTTTACAAGAACCTCGTGCTAGCTTGTGAATGACATGCGGTACTAAAAGTTTACTTAGAAATAGATGTTGAAATAAACGCGTATCCTCTTTTTTCGTTGGGACATTCTACAGATTTAGACTGCACATTCTCCAGAATGTGCAGACTAGCAACCACATTGCTACTGATAGCTCGAGAAGAAACCTTTGGAATTCTACGAGAGAGCATTTCCCATTATGTACATGCTCGCCTTCTTGAAGCATGATGCTCATTCCGTGCAGTTTCGATTTGAATCGTATTCCGTTGGCTGCGCGAAGTCTCCTTTTCTTCCTTCTAAGGTATTCTACCATGGAATTAACTCCTTATCAGGTTTTCGCATAAAAGCACCGAACTTCTTTCTGATTAAATGGTTCCACGCAGATCACCCATTCCTATCTATCTCTGTCGCCCTAGTAACAATAATGTAGGGAAGGATAGGGAATTTTGTATAGGTACTGATCTAGGTTGGTCGAATTAGGAAGCAATCGTATCTTTTTGTGCATGTGATGGAATGTGTTTACATACGACGCGCCACCGATGAGACTCTCACAGAGAATGATGACGGAAACTGTACCGAAGTGAGGCACGAA